TTCCTTATTTTGTCTAAACGTATACATTGATTCATCAAAGTTAATAATGAACACATTAACCCATAATGAGGATAACTGTCAAAATACATTTACTGCCCCGGTGCTTAATAAAGTAATTGGATGTCAATATTGACTCTAATGCCATATTTCTTTTTCCCTACATAACACAGCTTTAAACTTCAGTTAGCTCAAAGCAGGCTTACTTCTAAATGAGTATAACTAATCCTATTTAGATATGTCTGACAGTTGAAAAGCCCCTCATAACAACTTTCCTTTGATGTTTTCTAATTATATGCCACATTTCCACAGCTAGCTACCGCTTAGTGTCCAGTGGTGTTATTTCAAACTCTTCATTTCTCTGGAGCTTATGCCTTTAACAATGTTTTAATGTGTACAAAATATAACAAATGGGTTTTATTGTCATTTATGTCTCTCATGACTGAACTAAGTTGTTCCCACTCTACTGAAATGACAGTAGTGTTGGTGGCCAACTATTCAACACTTCTGTTGGTGTGGATGGAAAAGTGAAGAATGGGGTGAGCTTCAGTGCTGTGACGTAGATCCTGTAATTGTTAGAGAGCGGAGCTGTGGTGATGATATGGAGGGGGGGGGGTCCCACTGTGGTAAAAAAAACCTCCATTAGACGCAGAAGATTCAACAACAATATCAACAAGATGAGGTCATTCCCTAAAGATAAACAGTTACACAGACTCTTGGGAAAGTCTACGTGTAATGAGAAAACATTTAGGCCTATCTTGTGTTCACTGTTCATCCTCCGCCCTGCTAGGTATTACATAAGCTCTAGGAAGGAAGCGACAGTCATAACTACAGCATTGACCTAATGTACTGTAACACTGAGGAGTGATAGTCAACAACAGGAGTAACCTTTGACAGCAATAAACTGGGGGGACAACTAACTGTTATTCGCATTGTCGGGCAACCTTTTTCTCAATGAATTGATTTATTGTTTGGGTTAAAATGTCAGAGGTTGGTGAAAATCTTTGGTGAAAGACTGTAAAAGGTGAACATTACCACTTTTAAAGAGTCTGTTTGAATATGCTGCCCTATACTAAGGAAATGCAACTGTCTGTGCCGACACAGCGAGAGCTTTATTAACTGTCAATTTTGTTTATTAATAACCAATAAAAAACCAAACTGCAACAAATCAACAAGCCTTTGTTCCCCTGTGAAACTAATCGGGGAGTATGGCGGTACGATCGCCCTCGTCAGACTCTGGGTTCTGTATCAGAGACACCACCAGAGATCAGTCTGTCCAGCTGCCGTCAGAGACTTTAAGGGGAACTGCAACCGAGGCTGTTGGACCAATGACGTCACACCATGGCTCTCTGCTGAGCCCAGAATCAGCTAAACCAATCAGGGGCGAGCACTCATGTCATCATGATTAAGGAGCTAGTGAAGACAGGGAGAGAAGCTGCTGCTAATTGCAGAAATGAGCTCACTTCTGGGTACTTCATGTCTAGTATTACGTATCATTTGAAATGTCTTGGTGTTGTGCTTACTTTTGTGGGCTCATTGGGAATGAAATATTGAAACTCTTTTTGGATCTTGCAAGAAAGAGAGGCATATTAAAAATGTAAAATATGTATCCCTACACATGTGAGGAGAAAGCTATGGCCTCTGGAGGGAATGCTCTACTCTCATAATTGAAGAGGAGCCAGGAAAGAGTCTAAACTCTCAAGTGGAAAGTAGGCTAGCCGGGTTTACTGCCAAAAAGACATGATGTGTTTCACTAGTGCATCTCTCCCCCGGGCTAACAGCGTGGTTTATGACTAAAGACAGCTTCCCAACTTAAATGAGGATGAGAGCAACAACAAAAATGAAAAGTGGGGTGTGTCAAATTACCACTTGAAAACAACCCTCTCCACATTTGGGGGCTCCATATTCCCTGGCACACATTTAAAAGCAAACACCAAAATGGAAACAGATGTTGAGCGAGTGAGAGCTGCTCCGTGTTTTCATCCATTCTCTCCCCTTATGTCCTCCTCTCCGGCCAAACATAACAAGTGGGGGATGGAAATATAAGAGCCAAACAACGGTGGTCAAAGTTGAAAACGGTGCTGTGAAATTCTCTGATCAGTCCCAACCTGACGGGAGCTACAGGAAACGTTGGCAGATGATTCTGGTAAAGGACAAAGGGCACTCAAAGCTTAGATAAAGACTCCAGGTTGCAGAGGATTATGGGTAGTGGCTTCCCATCACACCAACATGATCAAAGATTGGAGATCCTTCATTTAGATTTTTAAGTGGTGCACAAGCCCAATGCATGTTATCATTAAATCTACAAGGCAGAGAATGTGCCCAAGTCTGAATCAGATGACAGGTTTGTCTCTCATGTAACTTGATATGTAGTTTAAACTGAGTTAAAATACTGTACTGAAGCAGTGTGGTTTGCTGAACCATATTTGTGTAAAATAACCTATATTTAGAGGCTAGAGTCAGACATAGTAACTCTGATACATACTTATTCTTTTTGCTTAAGAGGCCTATGATTGCTTTTGTTGGTCACAATTTCACAAGTACTGACCGATTGATAATTATTACTTTTAATGTGGTTATTTCATTTGTACAAATTGAAAACAAGCCTAATAAACTAAACTAAGACTCCACTCTGGAGCGGGAAAGTTTGGACCTCATCCAACAGAGCAGGAAACATTTTACGAGTAGGAAACTGGAGGATGACGAAATACAATTTGCAGACAAAAGATGAGCTACTGTATACCAAGGCTGTAAGAAAAACAAAACGTTACCAACTAAAACCTTCCTGCCAATTCATTTCTTGAATAATCTTTTGATCTATAAATGTCAGAGAATATTGAAAAATGCTCATTACAATCTTTATAATGTTTGGATTGCTCTTTTTGTCTGGCCAACAAGTCAAACCCAAAGATGTTCAGTTTACTACAAAAGACTGAGAAATCAAACACTCACAATTGAGAAACTGGAGCTAACATGTCAAATATTTGCTTGAAAAATTACTTAAGAAATAAATTATTTAACAAAATTGTCAATTATGAATTCAATCAACTCAAGAATAATGACCTTAATGTTTCAGCTCTAAATGTTTTAAAACAATCTTTAATATCGGTGTCTTTCTGCACATACACTTTTCAAAAAGGTGTCTTTATTCATTTAGTTAATTACAAAACCTGCTGAAAAAATGAATAAGAATAATAAAAGGTGCAACAGATTTTGGAGTTGGCCATTGTTGCCTTCCTAAATATGCAAACAATCGGGGTTCAAGTCTTGTTAAAAAACGATTGATTTTCAAAAAGGAAGTATCGTCTGAAGCCTATTATGAAAGGGTATGACCTATGGACTCATTTGTATTGGTTAAAGGTCTTAGTTTCAGACTGACAATGTGTCCTCCACATCACAGCTTTATTTTTGATTAACTACATTAATGACACACAACTTTAAACCATCTGCAGTGACTTGTCCTGTTATCAGGAATCCAGCAAAGTGATTATGTAAGAGGATGCTGATGATGATGCTAATACTATAAAGAAATACTACTGAATTCTGAGCTGAATATACATGTATAAAAGTATAATAATGACTGAGATCGTCATGTCGAAGCAGTCTTCTGAGGGGAGAATGTCACTAGAGTATTATTCAGGCCAAGTAACACAGCTGACTGGGAAGTTTCCCTTTATTCAAACCTCTGAATGTTAACATCTGTTCCTGGTTTTGAGAGAGAGGATGTTGCAGCAACAGCCGAGGGAGCGGAGGGAGGAAGGAGGCGCTTTCTCAAATCTTTGGAAAACGCAAAGTGAGTGAGGAGGAAGTTGAGAGCAAACATCCTATTTTACACCGCTTTTAAACTCGATGAAATGAAGAAAAGTGCGAGAGATGGTGTCAGAAGCGCCGATGTTGCCAGGAATACATCACACCAACGCCCACCACCGGAGAAAACTGCAGAAGAGCTACTTTACAAAAAAAATGAAGTCCACTGAGACAAATGCAAAATGTGTGATATTGGGCTATATAAATAAACGTTGATTATAAAGTCAAGAGTGTTTTACTGTAGGCTTTAATTTGTAAAGAGTGGCAAATGATGAGTACTGGCACAGTCTGTGACTTTATGCTTTCATTTTCATCCACTGTGTATATCACTCACATCATTCTTTAATGCTACAATGGCTGGGTTTACCTTATAAATGTGACCATTAACTTGTTTGTTTTTTGCAGTATTTTACCTAATAATTGTATAAAAAAAAAAAACCTATAGGATTTAGAATTGTTAAATGATTTATAATATATACCACCCTCCAAAATCCTTTTATACAGTATAGTTTCGAGGTGTTGGAATATCATATACGGATTATGTTAACATTTGTGAAAGTTTGATGGGCAATCTTTTCTATCATGGCCCAAACAATTCATTGATTCATCAAAGAAACACCTGACTTGACAATATGTGACATGTGTAAATAAATGTAAGTTGCTATCCTAGAGACCTGTCCTGTCAATACAAGCTGCCCAAAGTATATGTATTTCCAGTTGAATAAGAAAGTGTGATACAGTGTGATTTGCTGCCTGCAAACAATACAACATTAAAGTCTGAGTGGTTCTGGCACAGTCCCATACTGTATGCATGGCATTTTAAACAATGGCAAATTAAGGCTACTGGCACAGACTGTCACTTCCAGCATTCATTTTTAATATTCATTCCTATCCTTACATAATTCATTTACAGATAACATAAACCAGGACAGCTTGCCACTGCTCCTATGTGCTTGCTCCTATGTGCTTGCTCCTATGTGCTTGCACCCCGGTCAGAGAGTTTCTGTGTGGTTTCCTACCCCATGCTCCCCGGCTGGCCCCAGCTTTCTTAACAGACAGAAATAGAAAAGTGGCAGCCATCAAACAGCAGGCTAGTTACTGGTGATTAGCTGCAGCTAGCAGGAAGCTAACTACATACTTTTCCTGTAGGAAAATAAATAAATAACAGGAACTAAAGCCTGGTTGTCAGCACTCACCTGAACCGTGGAGAGTCCTTCAAACATTCCTCGAATTCCACAGTTATCTTCATTTTGCCGCAGTGAGTAAACCCGCACACTCTCTGTGATTAAAGACAGTAATCCAGGCTAATTAGCTTGTTGCTAACGTTACTGTACTCCTGACCAGCTGGTTCCTCTCTGTCACTGCTCTGCTAGCCCCAGAGGCTAGCAGCTACGATTAAAAAGTCGCAGCAATGCAACCATAAACGACTGTATGTTGAAGGAATGGTTGCCAAAAAAACGCTACAACAAACTATTTGAGACGCAGCGGTCAGTCCTGAGAGCAGAAAGTGTCCTCCGGTAGCTAGGTCATAGCAGCCAGTGTGGGAGAGCAGCTTTTCTTCAACGCAGATACTACTGACTCACACAGATCGTCTATACTGAGACAAGATGCATCACTGCCCAGAGCATGTGTTGCAGGTTGCAAGGGTTTGTTGTTTATTGGGATTTACGAATCCTTGGATTTACAGCAAACATTAACAGAGAGAATGAGTGATCAGTGGTGAAAGAAGTATTCAGCTGATTTACTGGAGTAAAAGCAGAGGTGGGAAGTAACTAAATACATTTACTCAAGTAGGCCTACTGTACTTAAGTACAATTTTGAGATACTTGTACTTCAAATGTTATGTTACTTTGCACTTCTACTCCACTACAATTCCGAGGTAAATCGTGTACTTTAACTCCACTACATTTATTTAATACCTTTAGTTACTTTACAGATTTGTAATAATAATATGAAATATTATCAACACTTCAATAAAACTTTAGTTACACCTGGATCAAAATTCCGAAGCTACCCTGCAGCATACAAGTAATTGATAACACTTTAATGCATCAATAATTTAAATAAATACATATAATATATTACCCTGAAATTGACCTATTTGCATAATAAGTACTTTGGTACTTTGAGTATATTTTGATGCTAATACTTTTCTTTTACTTGAGTAACATTTTGAATGTAGGACTTTTACTTGTAACAGAGTATTCCTACACTAAGTACAAGATCTGAGTGCTTCTCCCACCTCTGAGTAAAAGTAAGAATACATTATTATCAAAATAGTTAATTACAAGTAATTCCTGCATTCAACATCGTACTTAAGTTAAAGTACAAACGTATTATCAGCTGAATGTAGGCCTACTTGAAGTATAAAAAGTAAAATTAATAATTGTGCAGAAAAGTTGCCTTAATGTGTGTATATAACTATAATTATATATGTAACATTTCCAGATAACATTGTTGCATCAAGTCGCATTTTACTGTTGTAGAGAAACAAAGTTCTGATTGATTTTTTTTTATCACCTACAAAAAAACCTTTGAAAGTAAGTCTTTCTATTTATGGAAATAAACAAATGTCTTTAATACAATGAAAATGAGAGGTGTAGGATTTTTGGACCTAAGCGTAAAGTGTCACTTCAATGTGACAAGCTGTTGAATTTGACCAGGACATCTGGCAGAGTACATCCTATTAAAAAATCTACACATACATGGTAGGGATTTACAAGCTAATATTTATTTTAGAAGCTGAGTCTAATATTTCCATACTTACTATATTTGTTTTACCTTCTCTAAGGCTAACAAGATAATGTAGAAACTGCTGTCAGTGACATAAATAGTGTTATAGGAAAATGGTAGTAGGCCTACTGCGTTAGTGAAGCTTCTTTATCTATTTGCAGGAAAGATGTCCCTTTTTAAGGACAAAAACACACGTTGAGGTAGATTTTGAAGCATCAGTTTGGAAATGAACATAGGGTGTCATTTTCAAGAAAAGATAATAAATCCAAATAACAATTAGGAGATAACCCAGAAGAAGGATTGGATTTGTTCTTTGTAGCATCAGGGTATGCAGGAATCCTGAAGTCAAATGTAATACCTTTTAAGACCTTTTTTAAGATCCTTTCCATACATTTTAAGACCTCATCGCCACTTCGAGTTTTAACCGGTTACATTGGCGACACAAGCACATTTAGTAGGCTATTGATTGTCCTTCCTCCTTATCTTCCAACCATTTGGACGCAAACTTGCATTTCCCCATAACGATGTTGTTTAACAACCTGCGTAAACGGACCTTCGCGCGCTATCAAGCAGTGAGCGCGTGATGTCCTGTTCAGATGTCATCAAATCCAACGGGATACATAAACTACAAAGAGTCCTACGCAATGATTACATTCAGGCAAACTTTAGAATACAACCTCTTAAATATAATACCTTGGAAAATGCCGTTTAATACTTTTTAATACTTTTTAATAGCCTTCATTTTCTCTAAATTGATTTATCAACTTTGAATATTTTTTAAGACCCCGCGGACACCCTGAGCATATACTAATTTAGTTATGTATGACAGCAATATTATGAGCCCCTTTAATGCGTCTATCCTCCGAAACTAGTGATGCCTCTGTATTTTTCTATACGATCTTTGTGTGAGTTGACAGACTCTTCAGGACAACCTCCTGATTTCTTACTCCGCCGTGGTTCTCTGTAGCCTTTACTCCACAATCACATCACAAACATTTGACATTGTATCCTAATTTATCGACCACTTGCATTGTTTTCTGATTAAATGAAAACTTTAAACCGTCAAGGAGAATCCTTGCAGGAACATAGTCCACAGTTTCATCCTGTAATAATTACTGGAAATCCAACGGGAATGACACATATGTTGTGTAACAGCGCCCTCTGGTGGTTTTAGAGAGGAGTTCTTATGTCGCGTGGAAGAAGTACTCAGATCTTATACTTGAGTAAAAGTAGAACTTCCAAAGTGTAGGAATACTCTGTTATAAAATTAAAGTATTGCAATCAAATCCTTACTCAAGTAGAAGTACAACAATATTAGCATCAAATATAACTAAAGTACCAAAAGTAAAATTAGTCATTATGCAGATTGATCCATTTCAGAATCATATATATTACATTACATTACATGTTTCTTGTTAGACGCTTTTATCCAAAGCGACTTACATACTCAATACTGTGGGCAATCCCCACAGGAGCAATTTGGGGTGAAGTGTCTTGCCCAGGGACACAACGACATGCTGACTGCAGTGGGGTTTGAACCTGTGCTGCCCTGATCCGAACACCAACGCCACACGCCACTCCATATGTTTTAATACAAATAATGATGCATTAAAGTGTTATCAAAGCTAGTAAAGGTGCAGCTAGTTTTAATTACTTTGTATACTGCAGGGTAGCTTGTGTATTTACTCCAGGTTTAACTAAAGTCTTATTTAAGTTTTGTTTTATATTTCACGTCATTAATCCAAATCTGCAAAGTAACTAAAGGTATTAAATAAATGTAGTGGAGTAAAAGTACAGGATTTACTTCTGAACTGTAGAAGAACAAAGTAGTAAAACAAGTACTCAACTAAAGAGAAAGTACCTCAAAAAAGTATGTACATACTTGTGTGACTGAGTAAATGCTTTATGTTTGGATGTTTGATTTATTTCTATTCCTTTAGTTTTTAGACCTCAATATATTTTTCTATAAACAAACTAAATAAAGATTAATAATAGAGTATGTTTTCATGTTTTTGTGGGACGTGTACTTTTTTGCATCACTGCTAAAATAGATGATTAGTTGCATGGGATAAAACTTTAAAATTCTACATTTTTCAGCGCATGATCAGAGGCTGACATTTATTTACAGAAGCTAGAGGCTTTAATCAGACAGACGGTGTCAGAGAAAGATTTGATGCATGTTTCAGGTTTATATAATTCTGACTCCTTAGATCAAACATGAGCCGGAGAATAGAGTTCCTAACAACATTTGTTTAATGATAGGCGACAAAAACAATAACAGAATACACGCAATCTGATGATTAAGGACATGCAAACTGGACATCCAAGTCATTTGTGAGACAGACACACAGTGCTTAACAGTCTGTCATTCTTAGAAAACAAACCAAACAGGGCAGAAGCGGTGCAGTATGAAAAAGCAAGACAGTGGACATGAGGCGAAAATAAACAGTAAATCGGAGCATAGCCTGTTATTTTTACACACATGTACATAAATACATAAGAGGCACATTTGACATTATAACCACCTACAGAGTGATCATGTCAGTCATGATTCGGACGATTTTGTCCTTTTGTCTAGAGCGAGAACCAATCTTCTCTTTGTATCTGTTCACCAATTCATAGAACACAATAGAACAGTATCATCAACATCTGTATTTCCACACATATTCCTCTTTTGCTGCAATATTCATGTGACATTTAACTGCTCAGACGAGAGCTGGTTGTTTGGTGGCGATGGCCAAAACAAAGAGGCTTTAACCTCCGTCATGGAGCCAAAATGCCACCTAGAACTTAAATACAAGAACCAATTGAACTGCAAAGAGAAGTTTGCAGAAGTCATACTGTTGGTCTATGATCTTTTGTATTTCTATAACACATAGCTCAACACTTTCAGTCACTGTGAGGAATTAAAGGGGCAGAAGAAAATGAAGAGATCACCACACAGTACTCAGGGTTCCTATATACGTTTCTCTCAAGGCAATCATTCAACTCTGTATAGTCAACTCATCGATGACAGTCAAAAACTTAAAAATGCTATTTCGGTTGCACTAGGACCATTGTTCTCTTTCTCAATATTTGTGTCCAATCCAACATTTGTTAAGACTTTCACGACGCTTGTAGGAACCCCTCTCATTACAAAATCCACCTCAAATTAGCCTTAGCGGTTCACTCCACTGCCGACGTCTGCTTTGTTAAAGTCAGTAGCATCACAACGACTCTTCCTTTGACATTCCCAAGCTGCATCTCACAAGACACTTAAGTAGATCAGACAACAATCAATACAAGTGTGATGAAGTTGGGTGACAAGTTAAAACACAATCCTGAAGATTAAACTTTCTTAAAAAGCTGTACTCTCACCTGGTCGATGACAAATCAGATACTAGAAACCATTTTAAAGCAAGAGCGCTGGTCTCTTCTGTGTCAGATCTACATGACAGACGGCACACTGTTATGGGACTTAGACACTGTCCCTCCTACTATTTTAAAGAGATTAAAAGGTTATAAATGCAGATTTCACTTATCCTATGACTATGAAAAACTCAGGGGCCTGACTAAGAGTTAACTGAACAGCTTGAAATGTTAATTATCAGCTTTTCTTTCAATCTAATTTTGAAAAATCTCATTAAATGTTAAAACCTTTTACAAATACAAAACAAGTTTCTCTTGTAAGAAAACCTGTACTTCAAATTGAAAAGTAGATTTAAAATACCTATGTTGTGTAGATTCTGTGAGGTATACATGTTTTTGTTGTATTGCCAGATTTGAAATAAGGTTTAATGTGATGTTCTTGCTCGTAAAGTCAGAATGTAATAAATTCTGGACAAAAATGAGCACCATGCCAATATAAT